GGCCAAGTACTAATCATAAACGTACACCTTATCAACTTGCAATTGACAAGAAACAAAATATTTCTCATTTAAAGATATTTGGTTGTGTAACATATGTCCCAATATCTCCATCACATAGAACAAAGATGGAACATCAAAGGAGATTAGGAATATTAGTGGGGTATGAATCACCTTTTATTATAAGATATCTTGAACCTTTAATATGTGATGTTTTTCAGGCAAGGTTTGTTGATTGTGATTTTGACGAAACAAAAATTTCAACACTAGGGAAAGAAAATAAAAAACTAGAAAATGAGATAACATGGTCTGTACCCCATTAATTATATTTGGACCCATATAATAAATTATGAGAAGAAAATGTAAAGAAAATTATGCACTTACAAGATTTAGCAAATCAATTGCCAAATTCTTTTACTGATTTGAAAAGAGTGACAAAGTCACACGTACCAGCTATAAATGTCTCAGCTTGGATTGAGATTTCAAATCTAAATGGTGTAGTAAGTACATCTAAAGCACAGTTGAAGCATGACTGACCTATGGGATCCAAAGACAAAAATCCCCGAAAAAAAAAGGATAGAAAAGGTGAATATAATTGAAAGTGATCTTGAAAAGACGCTAGATAATAATAAATCTACAATTAAAGAACGTGCTCTCGAAGAAGCACAAGATGATGATAATGAGATTATTGATAATGAAAATAAAAATAAGAATGATCTTGAAATTTTAATTAATTATGTTGATAAGGGAACTTTGTGGAACCGACAAGATATAAATATAGATGAAATATTTTCATTCTCTATTGCATGTGAAATTATGAATGAAAATGATGATCCCAAATCAAAAACTATGAATGAATGTAAAAATAGACATGATTAGAAAAATTGGAAGGATACAATAGATATTGAATTAATTTCTCTTAAAAATCGAAAGTATTTGGCCCCATTACGACTATACCAAAAGATGTGAAACCGATTGGGTATAAGTGGGTCTTTGTAAGAAAACGAAATGAGAAAAAGGAGATTTTCAAATACAAGGCTCGTCTTGTTGCACAAGGTTTTTATTAAAGACCAGACATCGATTATGAAGTAACTTATTCTTCTGTTATGGATGTCATTACTTTTCGTTATTTAATTGGTTTATCAGTATTTAACAATCTTGATATATATCTTATGAATGTTGTTACTGCTTATTTGTATGGATCACTTGATATTGATATATACATGAAAATCCCAAAAGGACTTAAAATGCTTGAGACATCAAAACCTAGAGAAATGTATGCAATTAAATTGCAAAGCTATAATAGGCTAAGTGAATATTTGCTTAAAGAAGACTATAAAAATAATTTTATTTGTCCTTGTATGTTTATAAGAAAAACAATATCCGATTTTGTAGTAATTATTGTCTATATTAATGATTTAAATATTATTGGAACTAATAGAGAAATAAAGGAAACAATAAATTACTTAAAGAAAGAATTTGAAATGAAAGAATTAAAAAAAACAAAGTTCTGCCTTAGTTTACAAATTGAGTATACTAAAAATGGTATATTGGTACATCAATCAAATTATATAGAAACGGTATTGAAAAAGTTTAACATGGACAAAACAAACCCTTTAAGTACTCCAATGATGGGTAGAACACTTAACATTAAAAATGATTCATTTATACCTAAGAAAGGTAATGAAGAAGAATTGATACAACTTTTGCAGTAAATTTATTAGCAAGATTCAGTTAGGCATGACAAGGAAACCCAGGCCCGCTCCAAAATTAACGGGGAAACCCCAGTTTAACTAGGTGCGGGTAAAATCTGATTTTCTATTACGGGTGTGGGGGTGGGGACAGGAGATGCTATTACCCTCCCCGCATCCGGCACCGCCCCGGCCTACTTTAATTTACTTTTATGCCTCATTTTAATTATTTTATTATACATTTATTAGAGTTATTTTAATTTTTAGAAATAGTTTTACTAAAATAACATGTTTATTAGTTATTTTACTCTTTAGAAACATGTTTATTATTAAAATGGTTAATTATTTAATTAAATTATTAATTTTATTGTTATGACAAAAATATTTATTTAAAAAAAATAGTTTTGTGGGTGGGGGCGAGACTGGGGTTAGGAACCTATTTCCCATTGATGACGGGTCTGGATGGTAATTTTTTACCCCTGACTGGGTGCGGGTGCGAGGCAGCTTAAACTCGTCTCCGCCCCACCCCGTTGCCATGCCTAGATTCAGTTCATGTCCTACAAAAAGACATTGGATATGAATAAAACATATATTCTGATATCTTTGAGGTACATCAGACCTTGGTTTATTTTATTCTAATAATACAAAACTAATTTTATTTGGTTATGCATGATATTTGTCAGATCCATATAATGCTAAATCACAGACTGAATATATATTTACATATGATAACACTACAATATAATAGAGATCACAAAAGCAAACACTTGTAGCAACTTTTACAAATCATACTGAAGAAATTGCTCTTTATGAAGCAAGCAAAAAATGTATATGGTTACGATCGATAAGTAGACATATCCAAGGAGTAATTGGTTTACCCATTGATAATAATCCAACAATTTTATATGAAGACAATGCTGCATGTGTTACCTAGATGAAAGAAGGTTACATCAAAAGTGACAGAACCAAGCATATCCCTCCAAAGTTCTTCTCATTTGCACAAGAGCTTAAAATAAACAAAGAGGTTAATATTTAACATATCTATTCATGTGATATTATGACAGATCTCTTCACAAAGACACTTCTTACATCAATTTTCAAGAAGCATGTACAAAATATGTGCTCTGTTGAGGGGGAGCATCATGTTATACTTTTTTCCCCTTATTAATTAAGGTTTTTATCCCAATAGGTTTTTTCTAATAAGGTTTTTAACGAGGCAATATATGTTCCCATAAGTTTCTCCTTGATAAGACATTGATGGAGCACTGTAATAGATATTTCAAAGAGGTAGTGTTATTATTTAGAAATATCTATCTATATAGTAATGAAAAATTGTTATAGATACATAATTTGTCAAAGTTAAAATAGTAAGTCAAATTATTACATTAGTGTAATAGTTGCATTTCTAATAGTATAAATACTACGTTTGACTAATGTAAAAATACACCAAAAATTTACTTTGAAACACAAAAGCATTCTCCCTTCTTCAATCTTCTCATCTAAGCTTAATAGTTACAGCTAGTTTAATAACTTATATTAGTTCATAGATATTAACAAATATTCAAAATCGATTTTTCTCAACAACCAGGTATTTTAAGTTATTTTTGTGTAATATGTTGGCATTCCTTTAAACTTCTTTTTAACAATTTGATTCTTTAAATTATTAAATATGTGCAGTGTTACCCTTTTCTAATAGAGTAAAGGTGTTAATTATGGATGCAACTGTTTTGAGTGGTATGAAAAAAATGAAGTACAACTAAAAATACAATCGTCATAAATTTCTATATATTCAAAATGTGAGAAAAAGATGTAGAAATCAATTTAAATGACCAAATTGTTACAAAAAAAAAAATTTAATGACCAATCTATTACACAAAAATAACTTAAAAGACATCTTGTGTAATTTTGCCTTGATTTTGAATGAATTGATTTTATAAAATCGATTCGGTCTAAAAGTGAGTCGAAAGTAAATTATATTATGTTTAGATCATTTTCTCTTGTGAAATTGTCTTTACAAACTCAAAACGCTTCTATCGAAAAGCTTCTCTGTCGAATATTTGCAGCGTGGTGTCGAATGTCTATAGGCCACCTACTCCTTAGACAAAAAATATACTAAGTCCAAAACACCTGATAGGCAAGTCAAACTCACCAGCTTTATACCACACTTTCATGTCGAAATGTTAAATCACTAAAATATTTTTTAGATTCCAAAAATCTTGAAGAAATGAGACTAAAGTTGTGCTAAGTCGAATCGGAACACGATAGATCTTTGCGTTCAATTACAATTACTTGCTCTAGTGATCAGAACGAGTTATGAACTACAAGAGTTAAATAACGAACGTGAATTTGTAGAATTTGTAGGAATCAAGAGTCAATTCTCACAAATGACACTATTGTGCTGTCTTGAAACCAAAAATGAGAACTTTGAACGGAAGTGACAATGAGGGAACTTGTAAGTATAACACTCCAACGATTAAGACAATATATGAAGAATAAGAGCAAAATGAAATTGAGTTTAAAATTTGTTACCTTGATTTGGCGCATGCTTTATATATAAAGGGAATAAAATAATGAATTAACTATTTGCTCGTCGTTATTTGCGAATGTATGTTGAAAGTGTTTTGCAATTAATATTTCTTAGGATAGGAGACATAACTATCTTCACTCATTAAAAAAAATTCGTGATAGAACTAAACCTCTATTAAAATACAAGTCGAGATGATATACTTAGGATTAACTCGTCCGAAGTCTTTCTCATCAATCCAAAATATTTGTATCTATTTTTAAAAAATAATAATTAGTTCGTGAAAATATGTTGTTTGATAAAATGAATAATTTTTGTTCACAATGAATAAATATATTTAAATTTAATTGATATGGATAGCCAACTTAAATTTTTTTTTATATTATCTGTTCATCATAATCATTAGATTTTTATATATGGTTTTAGGTGCAATCAATTAATCTCAATTTATTCATCTTTAAATTGATTAATATTCAAATATAGATCAATATCTTATGAAAAAATATAGTTAATAGTAAGTTGTTTCTTTGGTGCACATATTAAAAGATACACAAATAAAAAATAAGTATTTAAAAATATAATAAAATTATTAATATTAAACTTATATTAAATTTAAAATATAATTTTTAATAAATTTTTATTATATTTATACTTAATTTGTGCTAAGCTATCATTACATAAAAAAATATAATAAAAACATTTGTATTTGATTTTAGAGAGAGAAAGAAAGAGAACCCTCCACCCTCTCCTGAAGGCGGCAATCGGAATTCGGAAGTTAGGAGAGCAGAATGAAAATCCGATCGGTGTTCGACGGCGGAGCATTGAGAACCGAATTCGAGAAAATTGGAATCGATTCAAAGTTCGTTCCAATCCTATGGAAGCATCTCTTTCTAACCCTCAGAAACAGTAACACTGAAATCAATTCACCATGTGATTGGGAATGGGAAAAACACGTTCCTTCTTTGCCTTCTTCAGCATATTCATTCCTTCGTTCAAATTTCAAAACTCCTCTCTCTTCTACTCTTCACTCCGTTTTCCACTCTTCTGATAACCTCACTTCAAAGCTCCTCATCAAGCTTCATGTATGTATGCTTCTTTTTGTGCTTTCTTTTTACTGTTTCCGATTCTAGGGTTTCAATTTTCATTTTGTTTTGTTAGAATGGAGAATTTGTGGAGGCTGTGATAATGAGATATGATACTCGTTTGGGTAAATATGGTGGGAAACCACGTCTTGGTGGTCTCAGAGCTACTCTGTGTATTTCTTCTCAGGTTTGTTTCTTACTTTTTTCACTTCTGTTTTTTTTTTTTTTTATATCATTACTCTATTTGCATAGAAAATATGTAGTGCAATGTCTCTTTTTTTCTTGCAGGTAGGTTGCAAAATGGGTTGCAGATTCTGTGCAACTGGAAGTATGGGATTCAAAAGTAATCTATCCTCTGGAGAAATTGTGGAGCAATTGGTTCATGCCTCTAGTTTTGCACAAATTCGTAATGTTGTCTTTATGGTAATTGATTTTCCATGCCTTCACCCAGTTTTTTATGCCTTGTTTATGATATGTATTTAACTGGTTGTAACAATCCGTACGGATTTTGGTTGAATTAGCCTTTTGTTTAATACAATTTGGAAATAGTTGTGTTTCTGATATGTATATTTAATTGTGATCTTCTATCTGTTTATCATTTTCTGTCTCTGCTGTTGAATATATGATATTTTGTAATTTAAACACAATAATATGTGGTTTTCTATTTTGTTTCAAAGCTAGAATTTTATTGATGATGCTAATGGACAGGTAGTTACCAATCTTATCGAACTGCTCAGCATTGATGCGCTTGAACAAATTATTGAAAAATCCGACATTTATTCTTTGCTTCTGTTTTTGTATACAACTGAAAATTGGTAGAAAATAATGTAAAAGGAATATGTTTTTGTCTGATTGATTAGCTTCTTTGATTGCTCAAGAATTACACTATCTTTTATCAACCAAATAAATTAATAGATGTTAACTGATTTCCTGTCAAATTTCTTTCGGTTGCATCACATGGTATATATTAAATGTTAACAAGCCGCATCTCTGTTAAAGTTAGCAGTGAGACCATTATGGTACGGCATAAGATTTCCTTGTTACTTATTCTCCTCCTCTGCTCTATTTATTGCTTTAAATATCTATTCTATTATTCAAAAGTTGTTTTGAATGCTGCATGTACACTATAGTGGAAATTAATGTCAATTTTACACTGTAATCGACTATTTTTTAACAGGGAATGGGAGAGCCTCTGAATAACTATTCTGCTGTGGTAGAATCTGTTCGTATCATGACTGGGTCACCATTTCAATTGTCATTGAAAAGGATTACCATCTCAACGGTAAAATATGCACTATGGACTTGCATTGTTTTTTTCTATGTTTTCTTACATAAGTCAACTTCCAAAAATTTTGTTTTTATTCCACTAATTGGGTCTTGCACTACATGTCAGAAACTCTAGGTTGAACTGAATATGATATTCAATAGACTTCCTTTGTTTTAGAATATCCCAGCCTAGCCATATTTTCTTTATTAAGCCTAGCAATTACTATTTGAGTAAAATATTAGACTTCCTTGAGGCTCTAATGCAGAGTATGCTTATCCCTACAGTTTGTGACATTAAGCCCGTTATGATACAGGTCATAAGATGCTTCTAAGAGCTTTTACATAACAATTTTTAGCTTTTGAAGTCGTTTTGGTTAACAATGCTTTTAGCTTTCAACTTTTAGAAAAGCTCCAATAAGAGCTTAGCTGGAAGCTTATTTTATCAGCTTCTCTATTCTCAACCTATCTAAAATCTTCCCAAAGAACTTATGAGCAAGTGTCATCCAAACACATAATTAACTTATCTAGAAGACCAAAGTGGCTTTTCACATTAGAACTTCTAGGATAAGTTTTCTCCTATAAGTTCTTCTAGATAAGTTTATGAAAACAAAGATTTGTATTATCTGTTATTACTTTGTGATGTAATTTCTTTTGGAAAAAGTTCTTGAATGGAAGAAATTTCCGGCTTATGAAGGTTATATTTGCATCTTCAATAGGTTGGCATCATACATGCTATCAACAAGCTTCATAATGATTTGCCTGGTTTGAACTTGGCAGTCTCACTACACGCACCAGCCCAAGACATCCGTTGTCAGATAATGCCCGCTGCCCGTGCTTTTCCTTTGGAAAAACTTATGAATTCACTGCAAGAATATCAAAGGAAAAGGTAATTATTATGTATTTATACTACTTAGTATATAGTAAACTTCTTTTTTTTAGCATTGTTAACAATATCAGTGGTTTTGGAATCTTCATTATTCAGTCTGCAGAAAATATTAATTGAATACATAATGCTTGATGGTGTGAATGATGAAGAGCAACATGCACACCTATTAGGAAAATTGTTGGAGACATTTGAAGTGGTAAACACTCAAACTTTACTTGCTATCATATCAGAAATTCTTGAAATCTGAATTTTAAGTAAACCATGGATTTTGTTCGGGGAATTGTGAAGCAGACAAAATTTAATCAGACATCTCTCTATTTATTTGTCTTAAATATGATCAGCTTTCCCAGTTATAGTGTTATTAACCTTTTGAATATGTTCTTGATTGTTAAACAGGTAGTGAACTTAATACCTTTCAACTCCATTGGTACATTGAGTCAATTCAAACCTACTAGTGAGCAGAAAGTGTTCAACTTTCAGAAAATTTTAAGGGGTACCTATGATATTCGAACAACTGTTCGGAAGCAGATGGGCGAGGACATAAGCGGTGCGTGTGGACAGTTGGTGATTAACACACCTGATAAGTCTCTTGGAAATGCGGATCCCCTAACGGACATAGAAGATCTTGTAATTTGATATTATGTATTCATATGGGTTCAATTTAAATCTTAGGGCTGAATTTTTTTTAAAACTCGTTTCGGCGTTTTATGTATTGTTTTAAGTTGAAATCTTTAGATTAGAAGCAGGAGTCAAGACGTACTTGGTGAAGTGCAAGTGCGAAGTGAAAATTCTCCAATGATTTTGGTCCTCCTAATTTTGTTATACTGCTAGCAGCTGAACTTGTTAACTTACACATTTACAATTTTGCTGTTCAAAGCTTTCACTTGCACTTCAAGGTGTTAACCCGGCTTGATATTTGCAAAATTGTAAATCGAGCGAGGTTAACACCTTCACTTGATATTTGCAATTCAAGCCTTTTACAACTGCATTGGTTTTTATATACAAGTTTGTTTTTAGCAGTTTTAAAACTTGAATTTTATGTCAACTGACTTTCGAATGATCAATTAAATGTCAGCCGAAAACCTGACTGATTATATATGTTGTTTTATTTAGATGTTGAGCAATTCATAGATAAGGAAAGTATAATAGTTTCAAAAATGTTATTAAAATGGTAAAATTCATAATTTCTACTGAAGGTGTTAACCCAGCTAGCGTTCAAAGAAACAGAGTAACTACTCATCTCTGCTCAAATTAGCACAACATCATTGGGGTAGACAATATTTGTCAAAACGTACATCATTGGGGTAGACAATATTTGTCAAAATGTACATCATAGGGAAATAATATCTGATTCTAGATATGGTGACAATTAAGAAAAAATATTTCCACTGCATAATGCTATCCGCTCCAACAAGCCAAAGTGCAATTCTTATTTCAAATCCTGCTCGCCTCAGCCAGTGGGAACTAGATTCAGATAACCTTGCTGACTCTAACAATTGTTTCATTAAGCAGGATCTCTGGCAGAAAAGATTCAGCAACTTCATCCTATACACACAAATTATACATGTCCTACAATGAGGATGTTTTACAGAACCTTTAAGAGCTTAGAAATATTTTATGAAGCCAAAAGAGCTTCAAGTTTTGCAATCTGGTCATCCTCATTTAGAGGAATGGGATCCTTGTTGACATCGTGATACAAATCATGTTTCAATTTTTGAGTTTGAGTCTTACTAGGAAGATAACCTTGTCTTTCCCTGGAATTGCCAAAGCCACCATTGCCCCTTTGTCTTTCTCTTGACAGAGCTTTATCCTTGTAGTATGCTCTGTCCATGTGGTATGGATTGCTTCTCTTTTCCTCTCTTTTTGGAGGATGGTCAATCTGACTTGACCTAACAGCCACAGTTGCAGCTGGATTACCATCTCCTAAATCCACTATAATCTTCTTCTCCTGGAATGCAGGTCTTTTCCTAGAGATAGGAGGTTTGGCTTGTGATTTTTCGTCTTTTCCTAGAGATAGGAGGTTTGGCTTGTGATTTTTCGTCGGTCTGGTTTCTTCTTTGACCCATCTCTTCCTGATTCTTCTTTGACCCATCTCTTTCTGATTCTTTATATCTTTCCACCATCCACGCTCTTGAAACATTAGTTTTTGTGAACAAGTAATATGTTGACAGCCTGGCAGAGTATTGTCAAATTGCAGATAAAGTGGCAGCCGATATAGTGGCTCTATAGCATAGCTGAATTTTAACAAACTGCAATTGTTCTGTAATACACAATTTAGTACAAAGAATTGTCAGATTGCGGCTATAACAGTGCTATAGCACTGTAACAGCAGAATTTGAACAAACTTTTCTGCAATCCATGAGTGACAATACTGTGGTGTGGGTGGCAAGCACAGATGTAATACAGAGGCTAGCATACTTAAATGTTACAAGAAGATGATTTAAAACTAGCTTCCACTTCAAATGGGCTGATAACATTGCTATGTAAAATACGTTTAGCAAAAATCATACAGAACCTTAGCTAGCAAACGATTCGGTGCCACTCCAGCACTACATGTGAGCCCAGTCTCTTCATGAACACTGTCTCTGAGTTCTTGAGCAATCTACAAATTCCAATTTTAGAAAAAATAAGAGGTTTAATATATTTGAAGTTCTTCTGTTGCAATTTTAATTTGACCCCAACTTACTTCTTCACTTTTGACATTCCTTTCTCTGCAAACTTCAGTTATATCGAGGTATGCTTCATCCAGGCTACCAGCAACGAAATTGGGATCGTATCTCTGAAAAACTAACAAGAAAGTGCATTTTAAGCTACCATTAGTAGTTAAAGGAAAAGACACGGTATATAACGCAATCACACAAAAAAGAAAACCTTTTCTGGTCAAATCACTGTAATGTGTATACTTTTTGAAATCTGTTGGGACTAGGATTAACTCTGGACATAGCTTCCGTGCAATAAACCCAGGCATGGCAGAGCGAACCCCAAATTTCCTGGCCTGCATAAAGACGAAAAGAGGATCACAAATTCCATGTAACGATAGAGTTCAAGCAGATTAATTCTTCAACTGTCCATCAAATCAGTTCAAGCTTATAATATATTTGACAAAATAAACCTCATAATTGGCAGTGGATAACATAGACACGCTACCAACAGCCATTGGTTTGCCCTTTAACGTACGGTCACTTAAAGTCTCAACTGCTGCATAGAAAGCATCCATATCTACATGTAACCAGATCCTTGAAAGGTCACGGGAAGCTTCCAGCTCAAGAATCCTTCTTTCAGCAACCTGGCATTGGAAAACAAAAACTAATGTATTGAATTAATGAATATCGTTTTGAAGAATTTCAAGAAGAAAATAATAATAATAAAAATAACTAAGTTAAGAAGCTGATATTAAGGACTACTCATAAAGATGTATGTGATTGAAGATATTGAAAGGAGAAAAGATGTTTAATATGTAAACATGAAGAAAAGGTTAAAATTCAATACGTCTGACTTTAATCCTTACAAGTCATACATATGTATTAGAAATAGGTGGAAAAAACCACCAAAGTACACAATAAAAATTATCAGATCACACAAGATTCATCACACTGATCACCAAAAAGAGAATACAACGCTAAAACAACAAAACCGAAAAATAGAAGACAACACAGGAAAAAAAAACAACTAAAAACCTCACCCCGTAGGGTTCAGGCTAAATCTTAAACCAACAGAACCACCATGACAGATCAGAGTCCACCAAGAGAAACACCAAAAACCACATACCAAAACCATCTCCAGAATCAAGACAAAACACTCGATACGCTATAGGTTAAGACAAAGGATAGGGTTCTGAAGGTAGTTGGAGAAAGTGCATGAATTCACTTCTGATCTGCCTAGAAACCATTTTCAAGGAAAAAAATATTCTTCTCCTCCACTTCTTTCACACGAAAAAGATGTCATTATTATAGACCATCCAAATAGATCAGAGAACAGCATGTCAAATCATAGTAAACTCCCCCTAGACTTAGCCCTACCATTTAAAGAGAGAAAAAACTCAACCAGGAAGAACCACCTGTCAACCCAACCATTGAAAAATGCTATACCACGCCATGACTTATTGACATTGTAAGTAACAATTTATAAAAACTAAACTTGAAAAATTTACAAAATTACTAAACAAAATTGAAAACTAATAGATTCACTTCAAATGACACAAACAATTATCTTAATGGAAATAATAATGACATGCCTTTTGGTAATGAGATAAATCATACTGTGAAAGCTTTGCGAATTGAAGTCGCATGTCGTCAATTTTCTGTTTGATAAAAGCTTCCTTCCGTTCCTCATTCTGGAAATATTTGGATCCTTTGCTCATTTCATACACTACCCTCTGTACTTTCTCCTTGTCAACCCCTTCCATTCCTAAATATTACACCATTATTATTATTATTATATTTTCATCAATTACAAGACAAGTTACAGAGATTATCAATAAAATAAACTAAAGAAATATCATCTCCTACTATACAATTGTTGAGAAACAAAAAGAATAAAAAATGAATGTGAGGTTATGGTAGAAATTAACCTGCTTTGGCGGTTGTGTAGACAGTGTTGTAAGACTGCCATGGATGAGGAGATACAGCGTCGCTATTGCCTTCGCTTCCGTCCATCGCCCTCCTCTCCGATTCGCGATGCTTTCTCTGTTTGACTTGCCGCGCAACCCCGTTTCACGCCAAACTTGATGTTCCTCCCTCCTTGAGATTTTAACTTTGTGGAGAATCTAACTTGTTATACTCCATTTAAATTTCCAAAAATGCTTTGTTATTATTTACAACCAAATTTTATTTTTATTTCAACATTTTTACAATCAAAATTTCTAATTAGTATTTTTTTACATTTATGAAAATTCTCGCATTTACAATCAAGCTTGTCGGTTTTTATATTACAAAAAAGTTTAAAACTGCCTCGCCTTAGCCCGTATCTTCCTAATCAAGTAGTCTTCCAAACCAATGCCAGCATCCACAATTCTAGTATCCCCTTTGATTTCAATCTTAAGAACTTCCTCCAAAACACCACCAATTTTCACACCATCCTCCTCCGTATCACATATTTGAGGTACTACAATCATCCAACTATCCTTATGAGGAGCTTCCCCGTGCTCTAGCGAATTCGTGAGAACTCCGCATGCTTCCTCAACCCTACCAACATTGCAAAAACCACTCACTAAAGCATGGATGACAGCAAAGTGCGGAGAAAAACCTTTGGAAAGCATTTCCTCCACATACTCCTTTGCCTCATCAAACATTCCCAAATGACACAAACCATTTACCAAAGTCCTATAAGAAACCAAATTCGGCAAACACCCATTCGCCCGCATATCATCGATAACCTTACAAGCATCGCGAGCTCGCCCTTCTCTACAAAACCCTAATATAACCGTATTGTAATGAACTATATCAGGATTACACCCTTTAACCTTCATCCTACAAAGAAGCTTATAAGCTTCCCTAAGCTTCTTCTTCCTACACAAACTATTCAACAAAGTAGTATAAGTCAAAGAATCAGGAACAAACCCTTTATTCAACATATCCTCCAAAAGATCAACAGCTCCATTAACTTGACTCTTCCTACACAAAGCCTGCATCAAAATCCTATAAGACTCAACATCAGGAACAACATCTCTCTTAAACATTTTGTTAAACAGTGTGTATGCAATACTGATATCACCGATAAAACAAAAAGCCCGCATGAGAATGTTATACGACCTAGTATCAGGAACAACGCCATGTCTATGAGCATCTTTAAAGAGATCGAAAGCGGGTCGAACGTAATTCCGGCGAGAAACGAGAATTTCAAGAATGCGGTTAAGGTGTTTGGTTAAAGGTTTGATATTGAATTGAAGCATGGTGTAGAAAGTGTTGAGGGCTTTGTCAGGTAAATTGGCTTCGCCGTAGATTTTGATTAGGTAAGAGAAGAGGGTGGGGGTAATGGGTTGGGATTCGGATTTGAGGCGACGGAGGAGATGGTCGAGGAGAGAGAAGTGTTTGGAGCGACCGAATTTGAGAATGAGAATGAGGTAGGTGGAGTAATTGTGGCGGAAATTGGGTTGGAGAGAAGCGTAATCGAAGATTTCTTTGGCGAGGAGAGGGTCTGATTGGGAAGCAATGAGTTTCTGGACTCTGGTTGGAGAACCGATTGGAGAAGAAGAAGAAGAATGGAATTGGTGTTGTAGTGAAGAAGAAGAAGAAGATGATGAGAATGTGCCATTTGAAGAAATGGTTCTTAGATATTTTGATAACACTGTAAACGATCGGTGCATCGCTTTTTCAGATAACTGACAACAGAGTGAATGAGTGACAAGACCGAACACTGAAGAAGAACAGGGCGCTTTTGTTCTTTGTTTTCTTCATTTATTTTAGGGTTATTCAAATCCTATCATCATAGATATGCATACAAGTGATATTTAAGGTAAATTGTATAATTTTACTTCATTTATTTTAGGGTTATTCAAATCCTATCATCATAGATATGCATACATGTAAAATCTCCACACGGATCGAACCTTTGGTTGGCAAGTGAAAGGTAAATGTGCGCGCATGCTTCTACCACTGGGGTGGCTATACATCCGTGTATTTAGCCACCCCCATAAATATATATTGCAATTCTTCAATGAATTTCTGGGCAAGCAAAGGAAGCAAGAACAAGTGAAGATGCAACATACGTTTTAACTTATAACTATGTCAATACTTGGCCAAATCAGATAAAATTTGAGTCTAACATGCTTGAAATTTTATAAGGATCATGATGGTTCCATTATTTTTTCAAAATAAAATACCCAAATTAAAACACGAAGGAAGATGCAAATGGAAGACTTGAGATGCATTTTGAGTAGCATAAACTAAATCAGTGGCAGTTGAGATTAAGAAACAGCATGAGCAAATTATAAACATGATTCTGAAAGAGTTCTAACAAGAGTTTGGTTCAAAACAGCCTTGGACTAAAAAAGAGTACATGAGTTGCATACATAGACATGATGCGGTCATGAACAAAAAGTGAAATGGTCAAAATGCATGAATTCAAGATTAGTCAGTGATATGCAATTCAACTTATTATTTTTTATTAATTACATTTTATACTATTTTGTTATTTTTATTTTAGAATGTCTTTTAGAAATTTATTACCGTAACATATTATGATAGTTGAATCATGGGTTGGACCTCATGGCGTGGTTGAGTTGACAGTAGAGTGGTTACATTGTTCTCCATATTTCCAACATGTGTATTTAGAGCAAGAGACTGGTATGAGCAAGTTTCAAGTATAGTATGGGATGAGTTCCAACAGAAAATTTGATCAAAAAACACTAGAATGAGAAATTGGCATATGAGTTGTAATTTGGTGAGATTGGTGTTTTAAGAAAAAAAAACTTTGCAAATCAACAATAGCAATAACTTCATGACAGGTTTTTTTTATTTACACAAACAAAAGCAATGATAACATACTCTGACAACCACATAGCCAAGACAAAACTGATCATTAAATGCTTCAACAACATTTCAATAGAAATTACTAAAAACAACATTCTAACATGGCTGAACATTATTTGTAGCTTCAATGGAATTGACAAATTTCAACTCAGAAATGGTTTGAAAGAACCAAAACATATTTAAAATCAAGTTTCAAAACAGCTTTTATCCAACATGTGGGAACTGAAAACAATAGCCATTTAAAAACTACATGACAGTGCTAATTGGTCTATGTCAAACTAAACTCAAACACTAGTCACTCATTGCTACCAACATATTAAGGTAAACCAAATCAAAATAAAACAGCAAGTAAATAGTTGTCAAACTCAATCCCAAATCTTGACATGAACCTCAATAGGACAAAGTCCTATGACAATAGACAGTTTGAAGCATAACTGCATTGCTCTTAGTATAAGCATACAATCAACTCAAAAATAGCCAATCTTGTGCAAAAACGATTTCATTCAAACTTCCTCAAAACTTAACTAATTTTCACAAAATTAAAGTCAAACATGCTTGTTTTAAAGAGGATCATGATGGTGTCAATCAAATTTTCAAATAGTGCACACACAAAAAAAATCGAATGCTCATGCAATAATGATGGTTGTGATAGTAAAAATTGAAACTAACAATTCTCTGTTGATTTCTTTTGGGTGTACCATAGCTTTTGAGCAAGATCTACAGGCATATACTTATTCACTTAAATGGCTACAAATGATGGAATTTTGAAAATTCATAATTGTTCAATATTTCTGATAGTTTCCACTGACTCAGAGTTCATTGACACAGTTTTCTACAGATTTTCTGTGCAGGAATACAACAAATTCCGTATTATGCCTATTAATGAAGCTGCTGTACCACTTGCAGAAAGTGGAAAAATTGGTGCGTTGAACTTGTTTTTCAAACAGCAGTCTACAACCAAGCATAACTACTTGAAAGATCATGAACAAAATATTCTTTCAAATAAAATTCTAATAAGCATAAGCTTAAATAGTACACATTCACACAACTTTGTGATTCTAACTAAAACTGAAATCCATAATCACGACAGTCTAACTTTCAAGTATCTGATTATCACATAAAAGCATAATCTAACTATGGTCGCATAGGCTGATGGCTGATGGGAAGCTCTGGATGTTGTTGTTCGGAAAACTCTAGATTAATATTGGTCTATCTTCAATCAAGATCGTTATGCAACTGCAAGAACCATATATAATTATAACCGTATAATTATAACAATGAAACCATTAAATAACAACATTAAAGAATTTTAAACACAATAATATGTGGTTTTCTATTTTGTAATTTAAACACAATAATATGTGGTTTTCTATTTTGTTTCAAAGCTAGAATTTTATTGATGATGCTAATGGACAGGTAGTTACCAATCTTATCGAACTGCTCAACGTTGATGCTGCTTGAACAAATTATTGAAAAATCTGACACTTATTCTTTACTTCTGTTTTTGTATACAACTGAAAATTGGTAGAAAATAATGTAAAAGGAATATGTTATTGTCTGATTGCTCAAGAATTACACTATCTTTTATCAACCAAATAAATTAATAGATGTTACTGATTTTCTGTCAAATTTCTTTCGGTTGCATCCCATGGTATCTAATAAATGTTAACAAGCCGCATCTCTGTTAAAGTTAGCAGTGAGACCATTATGGTACGGCATAAGATTTCCTTGGTCCACCAATTGGGTCTTGCACTACATGTCAGAAACTCTAGATTGAACTGAATAAGATATACAATAGACTTCCTTTGTTTTAGAATATCCCAGCCTAGCCATATTTTCTTCATTAAGCCTAGCAATTACTATCAGACTTCCTTGAGGCTCTAATGCAGAGTATGCTTATCCCTACAGTTTGTGACATTAAGCCCATTATGACACAGGTCATAACATGCTTCTAAGACCTTTTATATAACAATTTTTAGCTTTTGAAGTCTATGCTTTTAGCTTTAAACTTTTAGAAAACCTCCAATAAGAGCTTAGCTGGAAGCTTATTTTATCAGCTTCTCTATTCTCAACCTATCTAAAATCTTCCCAAAGAACTTATGAGCAAGTGTCATCCAAACACATAATTAACTTATCTAGAAGACCAAACTGGCTTTTCACATTAGAACTTCTAGGATAAGTTTTCTCCAATAAGTTCTTCTAGATAAGTTTATGAAAACAAAGATTTGTATTATCTGTTACTATTTTGTGATGTAAATTCTTTTGGAAAAAGTTCTTGAATGGAAGAAATTTCCGGCTTATGAAGGTTTATATTTGCATCTTCAATAGGTTGGCATCATTCATGCTATCAACAAGCTTCATAATGATTTGCCTGGTTTGAACTTGGCAGTCTCACTACACGCACCAGCCCAAGACTGTCACGAAATTTGGCTTGATGCCTTTCTCATTGCCTTTCATACTATATATAATAGTGTCGGTAATTACAACTCATAATAACTAATTATAGCTGATAATGACTAATTACAATTCATAATGACTAATTTCCTATTCTATAAATTAACTTATTCACAATAACTGCAAAGATTATTTCCTAATTAACATCCCCCCCTCAAATTGATGTGGCTGGTCAAGGAGCATCAATTTGCTAACAAGAAACTGATGTCTTGGGCGTGGAACAGCCTTGGTAAGAATATCTGCAACCTGCAACTGCGTACTGACGTGAGGAAGTGATATTATTCGATCATCGTAGGCGTCACGTATTGAATGACAATCAACTTCGATATGTTTGGTGCGTTCATGAAAAACAGGATTTGCAACAATTTGGATGACACTTGTATTGTCAGCATAAAGTGAAGTTGACTCTGTTTGGGGAAATCCAAGTTCAACCAAAAGACCACGAAGCCAAAGTATTTCTGAACACGCAGCAGACATGGCACGATACTCTGATTCAGTAGAAGATTTAGAAACTCTTGCTTGCTTCTTACTTTTCCAAGAGATCAATGAAGAACCAAGAAACATACACCAACCAGTAACAGATCGACGAGTATCAGGACACCCTGCCCAATCAGCATCACTATAAGCGCTCAACTGAAGAGAAGTTCCAACGGAAAAGAATAATCCGCGGTGAGAGGTTCCTTTTAAGTAGCGAATTATACGACGAACTGCAGCCAAGTGAAGATGGCGAGGAGAATGCATGAATTGACTTACTTGTTGAACAGCAAAAGATATGTCAGGGCGAGTAATAGTCAAGTAGTTGAGGCTACCCACAAGTTGTCGATACAATAAGGGATCAGGCAACAGATCCCCATCATCACGATGATATTTAACATTAACCTCAAGAGGAGTATCTACTGGATTAGCCGATTCAAGACCGGCCATAGAAATCAAATCTGTAGCATACTTGTGTTGATGGAGAAAGATGCCCTTGGATGTAGAATGAACCTCAAGACCAAGAAAATAATGTAGATTACCCAGATCTTTCATATGAAATGAGGCCTGTAGCTGTTGCTTAAGTCGCTGAATGGAAGCATGATCCGAACCAGTAATAACCATATCATCAACATACAAAAGAAGCAGAACAATACCCGCAGATGTGCTATGAATAAATAAAGATGAATCATACTGACTCTGAGTAAAGGAGAATCCAAGTATAGTGGCGCGGAATTTCTCGTACCATGCTCGAGGTGCCTGTTTCAAACCATATAAGGAGCGTTTGAGCTTACACACGCCTTTAGATGAAGAGAATAAGCCTTGAGGTGGAGTCATATAAATATCTTCTGTCAGGTCACCATGAAGAAAAGCATTCTTCACATCCATTTGATGAAGAGTCCACCCATTAGAAGCAGCTATAGACATGATTGTGCGGACAGTTGTCATTTTGGCAACCGGTGCAAATGTCTCATCATAATCAATTCCATATTCCTGCTTGTTTCCTAACGCAACCAAACGAGCCTTGTAACGGTTGAGGGACCCATCAGAATTCAGTTTCACAGAATACACCCATTTGCAACCTATAGGTTTTACATTTGGAGGACAAGTGACGATATCCCATGTGAAATTCTCTTGAAGAGCTTGGAGCTCTTCAGTCATTGCTTTTATCCATCGCACATCTTTAACAGCCTGTGAGTAACAAGTAGGAATAGATATGCTAGAGAGTGTGGCAGTCAGAGAAGTATGTGAGGAATCATACCTGTCTGGTGAATATCTATCTGGTGCGCGGGATATTCGACCAGAACGTCGTGGTTCAACCGGTACAGGATCAGGTGGCAGTTCAGCATCGGGAAGGGGTGTGGGAACCTGTTGTCTGTGTTTTCTGACATATACATGACCTGGTTTATAACGTTCTATAGCTTGAGGCATAATAGAAAACTTAGGAAGAGTAACAATATCATTAATGGCAGGAGAACCACAGGGAAACATAAACTGATTATCAAAAAATGTCACATTTCTAGAAATGCGAAAACGATGGTTAGAGACATCATAACACACAAATCCCTTATGAGAGTTACTATATCCCATAAATGCACATTGAACGGATTGTGCTCCAAGCTTATGCCTTTAAAAAGGAGGTAAGTGAACAAAACACACACACCCAAAAGTATGTAAAGCACTATAATCAGAATGAATTTTAAATAGACGGAAGAAAGGAGAATCAAGATCAATAATTGTAGAAGGAATACGATTGATCAAGAAGACAGCCGTGGAAAGAGCCTCTACCCAAAATCGGGATGGTACAGAAGCTTGGAGAAGTAAGGTGCGTGTTACATCAAGCAAATGACGATTCTTACGTTCTGCCGTGCCATTTTGTTGAGGGGTATTGGGACAAGACCGTTGAGACAAGATGCCTTTTTGTTGAAGGTATTCCTGAAACTCATGAGACATGTACTCACCACCAGAGTCAGATCGAAAAATTTTAATACTTGCTTGAAATTGAGTTTCAACATATGTCAAATATTTCTTAAACATAGAAAACACTTCGGATTTAGAACGGAGAAAATATATCCAAGTAAAACGACTATAATCATCAATAAATGTGACAAAATATTTATAGTGAGCATGAGAAACCACAGGAGACATTCCCCATACATCACTATGAATCATCTCAAAACAAGTGGAAGCACGATTAGCACCAGACGGAAAAGGAAGTGTCTTACTTTTAGCCAATTTGCAAACAGAACATGAAACAGAGGCATCAGGAATAACATTTTTATTTCCCAACAAGCCACTTTTACATAAATGAGACAAAACAGAAGAGTTTGGATGACCTAGTTTTCTATGCCAATCCTCATAGGAATTCAAAACATTATGACAAGCAAGAGACAAATGATTAGAAATAAACTGTATTGGAAACAATCTTCCCACTTTAGGCCCCTTCGCGATCACTTTCCCCGACACCTGCTCCTGCACAAGACAACCAGATCGAGAAAAATTAACATTACAATTATTGTCCACCAATTGACCAACAGACAATAAATTAGAAGCAAGTCCAGGTGAGACAAGCACATTCTGAAAATCCGAGTTTATGTCCCCAACGTTAGTGATAGACAAGGTATTACCATTAGCAATCTGAATTTTCTGATTACCATGATAAGAATGTAAATTGTGCAAGTTTTCAGATGAACCTGTCATGTGATTGGATGCACCAGAATCAATAAACCATGGACGAGAAACATGAGAAGACTTACCCTTAATACCCAAGGCTGAAAGGGAAGAAAGTACCATGTGTTGAATCATTTCAGGTTGTAGAGCATTGTCATCTGATGCACCAGTGGTGGAAGAGCCAATTGTATGGCCTGTAGTGGCATGAAATGCCTTCACCGAATGATGTGCTGGTCGTGGAGGACGCGTGGGACAGTCAGAAATGATATGACCTTGTTGTTTGCAATAATTACAAAACTTCTTACTGCAGCTACGAGCAATATGTCCAAACTGTTTGCAAGAAAAACATTGGACATGTTGCATATCACGACCTTTATTTCTACTTTGAGCAGCATATGCAATTGCCACAGGCTCAGAACTGACAGTATCATGAGACATGGTTCCTTGAGTAAGGAGACGTTGTTCCTCCCTGAGAAGTTCACCAACACATGTATCCAAAGAAGGAACAAGATTCCTATTTAGCAAAGCACCTCTGACAACCTCAAATTCTAGACGAAACTTCATAAGAAATTGATCTCGCCTACTTGTGTTGTAGACCTCTTGAATAGCCGCAAGAGAGGTCTTGGGAACATTAGCATGTATAATAGCAGAGTGTTCTGCCCAAAGATTTAAAAAACCAGAATAGTATTCTTGAATAGACAAATCACCTTGTTTGTAGTTGGCGATGTCTAACTCCAACTGAAAACGTTTTGCCGAATTGTCCTGGTTGTAAATGCGCTTCAGATAATTCCACATTTCTTGAGCAGTTGAAAAAGAACGCAAATTATTTATCATCTGAGGATCAATACTGTTTAGAATCCAAGTGATAATTTGAGCATCTTTAGTTTCCCACGCATCTAAAGCAGTTTTCTCCGTTGGTGCCTTAGAAACATCATCTAAGTGACTCCATAATCCCTTTCCTTTAACATACATCTTGAACTGAAATTCCCATGCCGAATAATTCTTGCCGGTAAAACGAACACAAAAATTATCTCTTTCTTTTTCGGAAGCCATCTAAATTATTAAACCACCAGATACAATCTCACTAATATTATTTTATTATTATTATAATAATAATTATAATAATAATAATAATAATAACTATAATATAATAACAGTAACTGTAATCACAGTTACTAGAGCAGCAACAAGAAACAATACCCACGAACCAACGAACAACAGCACGATCAAATCCACGATTTGGAAGGAGCGGCAAAATAAAAGATTATGACGATCCAGAATCACGAAGCAACAACAGCCAAGAACCAAAAAAAATTGATTGCAATATCAGCACAACAACGAGAATCTCTAAGACGAAATCACGAACCGGCAACCAAAGATTTAGAATCTCAGACAGCTGCAAGGTTTCGATTTCAAACGAAAGAATTTCGAAACGAACACGATTACGAGAGCGATTCAGTGGGGTATCGCTGATCAGCCAATATAATAATATTTTCCAGGTTTGATCGAACCTACTGATACCATGTCACGAAATTTGGCTTGATGCCTTTCTCATTGCATTTCATACTATATATAATAGTGTCGGTAATTACAACTCATAATAACTAATTATAGCTGATAATGACTAATTACAATTCATAATGACTAATTTCCTATTCTATAAATTAACTTATTCACAATAACTGCAAAGATTATTTCCTAATTAACAAAGACATCCGTTGTCAGATAATGCCCGCTGCCCGTGCTTTTCCTTTGGAAAAACTTATGAATTCACTGCAAGAATATCAAAGGAAAAGGTAATTATTATGTATTTATACTACCGAGTATATAGTAAACTTCTTTTTTTTAGCATTGTTAACAATATCAGTGGTTTTGGAATCTTCATTATTTTCAGTCTGCAGAAAATATTAATTGAATACATAATGCTTGATGGTGTGAATGATGAAGAGCAGCATGCACACCTATTAGGAAAATTGTTGGAGACATTTGAAGTGGTAAACACTCAAACTTTACTTGCTATCATATCAGAAATTCTTGAAATCTGAATTTTAAGTAAACCATGGATTTTGTCCGTGGAATTGTGAAGCAGACAAAGTTTAATCAGACATCTCTCTCTATTTATTTGTCTTAAATATGATCAGCTTTCCCAGTTACAGTGTTATTAACCTTTTGAATATGTTCTTGATTGTTAAACAGGTAGTGAACTTAATACCTTTCAACTCCATTGGTACATTGAGTCAATTCAAACCTACTAGTGAGCAGAAAGTGTTCAACTTTCAGAAAATTTTAAGGGGTACCTATGATATTCGAACAACTGTTCGGAAGCAGATGGGCGAGGACATAAGTGGTGTGTGTGGACAGTTGGTGATTAACGCACCTGATAAGTCTCTTGGAAATGTGAATCCCCTAACGGACATAGAAGATCTTGTAATTTGATATTATGTATTCATATAGGTCCAATTTAAATCTTAGGGCTGAATTTTTTAAAAAAATCGTTTCGGCGTTTTATGTATTATTTTAAGTTGAAATCTTTAGAAATTAGAAGCAGGAGTCAAGACATACTTGGTGAAGTGCAAGTGCGCAGTGAAAATTCTTGAATGATTTTGGTCCTACTAATTTTTTTATACTGCTAGCAGCTGAACTTGTTAACTTACACATTTACATTTTACAATTTTGCTGTTCAAAGCCTTCACTTGCACTTCAAGGTGTTAACCCGGCTTGATATTTGCAAAATTGTAAATCGAGTCAGGTTAACACCTTCACTTGATATTTGCAATTCAAGCCTTTTAGCAGTTTTAAAACTTGAATTTTATGTCAACTGTGGCTTTCGAATGATCAATTAAATGTCAGCCGAAAACCTGAGTGATTATATATGTTGTTTTACTTTAGATGTTGAGCAATTCAGAGATATGGAAAGTATAACAGTTTCAAAAATGTTACTAAAATGGTAAAATTCATAATTTCTACTGAAGGTGTTAACCCGGCTAGCGTTCAAAGAAACAGAGTAACTAGTCATCTCTGCTCAAATTAGCCCAACATCATTGGGGTAGACAATATTTGTTAAAAAGTACATCATACGGAAATTGTTATGATATATGTTGACATGATTCAGAGACAAACAAACAACACAAGTAGCTTGCAATCATTTCAATCATCCTCACCAAACACGGAAAAAACATATCCATAACTGACTGTTAAAAAACACTCACCAGGAACTTGGACCAGGTTGAGTAGGATCAGCTGGATTGTGACGTCTGTGGCCTTGATTTTCAACATTAGAACTGGATTTTGTTCTCATTCTGTCTTGTTTTACATATTTTCTGTATCGTTTGGGGCTACAATCAAGTATTGGTCAGGATGGTTAGAAAACCCAGAAATGGACAAATCAATGATCAGATTAACTTAAAGATACAAAACAAGTACCAAAAGTAAAGACAATGTTTGATATAGGTAGCAATGGACTGAACAAGCAAGAAAAGAGAGAGACCTGGGTTCTGGATGGAATCTAGAGTCACGTCGGTTGGAATTAGAATCAGAATCTCGACGAGTGGATTGATTTTGGTATTGGAATTTTAAACAAACAAACCCAACAATTTTAGGAAAGGAATGTAGCATTTGGATAGCTCTTTGTTGGAGCATTTGGAAGTTAGAAGAATTATATTTTGTTTAAAGATGAAGTTTGCAATGTTTCAAATTTTGTTTGGAATATTAAAATTCTTGCCTAGAGGTGGTATTTTACAGGAGATATTACTCATTTCAATTATAACTTTTATGAATTTTACAAAGACCATTTGTATTATTTAAGTTAAGTGTTAATTGATTTTTTAACCTTTCTTTTGTATATTGGATCTCTTTCCGTCTTTTGTAATTGGGTTTGAATACTTGCTAAAAAAAATATTCTCTTAACAAAGAAAAGATGATTCACTTATTGAAGATCGAGAAATATTCAAGTACTTAGTAAGTCAATGTCTTCATCTACATTTTTCATATATGTTTTTTATTCAATTCGATAGTATTTACACTGGGTTAACAATATGG